AGGAGCAGGAGGCTATGTGGTCTTTTGCAATAAGGAGAGAGGAGAGGCTTTCCCCTTTACACAGTAGGAATGGGATGTTACAACTCCTGCTACCTCACAAATATTCTTTTATAGACTTGGAGAGGATTTGCCTTTCTCTCAGTTTTCTTATCTCCTTTAATTCCACAAGCATGGTTTTCAGAGATTCAGGTAAAAGTAATACTATACATCAGGAAGAAGAAATTAAAGGAAGTTGTGATGACTTTTAACTATGTTCTAACACATTCTGAAGAGTAGAGGTTATCTGTGACCCCAAAACACTGATTGGGTGCTGAAGTGAAATTTATCATGAATGGGTTCAGTTCAGTTCAGTCGCTCAGTTGTGTCCGACTCTTTGCAATCCCATGGACCGCAGCACACCAGGCCTCCCTGTCCATCACCAACTCCCGAAGTTTACTCAAACTCATGTCCATTGAGTCGGTGATGCCATCCAGCCATCTCATCCTCTGTCGTCCCCTTCTCCTCTGCCCTCAGTCTTTCCCAGCATCAGGGTATTTTCCAATGAGTCAACTTTTTGCATGAGGTAGCCAAAGTATTGGAGTTTCAGCTTCATCATCAGTCCTTCCAATGAACACCCAGGACTGATCTCCTTTAGGATGGACTGGTTGGATCTCCTTGCAGTCCAAGGGACTCTCAAGAGTCTTCTCCAACACCACAGTTCAAAAGCATCAATTTTTCGGCGCTCAGCTTTCTTCACAGTCCAACTCTCACATCCACACATGACCACTGGAAAAACCATAGCCTTGACCAGATGGACCTTTATTGGCAAAGTAATGTCTCTGCTTTTTAATATGCTATCTAGGTTGATCATAACTTTCCTTCCAAGGAGTAAGCGTCTTTTAATTTCATGGCTGCAGTCACCATCTGCAGTGATTTTGGAGCCCAAAAAATTAAAGTCTCTCACTGTTTTCACTGTCTCCCCATCTATTTGCCATGAAGTGATGGGCCCAGATGCCATGATCTTAGTTTTTTGAATGTTGAGCTTTAAGCCAACTTTTTCACTCTCCTCTTTCACTTTCATCAAGAGGCTTTTTAGTTCCTCTTCACTTTCTGCCATAAGGGTGGTGTCATCTGCATATCTGAGGTTATTGATATTTCTCCCGGCAATCTTGATTTCAGCTTGTCGTTTCTCATGATGTACTCTGCGTATAAGTTAAATAAGCAGGGTGACAATATACAGCCTTGATGTACTCCTTTTCCTATTTGGAACCAGTCTGTTTTTCCATGTCCAGTTCTAACTGTTGCTTCCTGACCTGCATATAGGTTTCTCAAGAGGTGGGTCAGGTGGTCTGGTATTCCCATCTCTTTCAGAATTGTCCACAGTTTATTGTGATCCACACAGTCAAAGGCTTTGGCATAGCCAATAAAGCAGAATCATGAATGGGTGGTATTTTAATAATATCATGTTGTTATTTTGAGGGTGTGGGGCTAAGTAATGTCTCCTCTGATTCCAGATGCTTTTCATTAAAACTGAAACAAATCTTTCCAAATCATATTTTGTGTCAAAGAAGTTTTGCCAGAGCAATGCCACTTCTAGCTTGAAATCTCCTCAAATGCTTGTCACTTAATAGATACTTAGGCTCTGTATGTTTCAAAAGCCCAACAAATTAGAAAGTGAAATATGACTAATTACATATGTTTGAAGGAGTATTATCTGAATAGTCTCATCAGGAATCCAGATGATGCATTTTAGATAATAAATTCATTTATCTGATAGCAATTGAAGTCAGTGTAGCCAGCCTTGCCTTTCTTCTTCCAACTTTAGCCTTTATCAACTAACTATAAAGAAAGAATTAAAAACTCAAAAGTATTAAATCCTAAGGAATTCACATTTTGAATACCTGGCCTCTTGAAAACAAATTATCGTAATGTTTTAAGTGGATGATTATCAAGTAACACACTGCTCATTTCAGTGTTGGATTTTTAGGTTCAAGATGAAGATTTTTAGTCACTGAGAAATCTTTTCCACCTAGCCCTGGAGGAAAAATTGTCACATTTTGCTGGGAGTTGTGGGTGCTCGTATTATTTTATTTCTTTTGAATGTCTGTGGCAAGAACTCCCAGAGGTAAATATGGGCTGAAATGCAAATCTAGGTATTTTCCAAATCATTTTGGAGATGTTAATAAATGTAACATCAAATGAAGGTTCTGTAGCCGATTACTTGGGATGCTTTGCATACCAGTGTCCTACCCTGAGATTGCCATGTGCAGTAGAAGAGCAAAAGCTGTCAGAAAACTTGTATTATACATGCCATGTAGCTCAGCATTGCCCAAGCTTATTTGAGCACTCTACCGCTAGTGGCCTTCCTCCCAAAAATGTAATCGAAGACCAATCATGAAAAAATGTCAGACAGATTTCAATAGAGAGACTTCTATAATTTACCTGACCAGTATTTTTTAAGGTCATCCACAACAGAGAAAATCTGAGACCCTCTCACAGCCAGGAGGAAACTGAAGAGACATGGAACTAAATGTAATGTAGAATCTTGGATGAGATTCTAGAACCAGAAAAAAGAAGATTAGGTAAAAACTAAACCAACTATGAACTTTAGTTAATAGTAATGCATCAGTACTGTTTCATTAATTATAGCAAATGAGTCACACTAATATGTTAATAACAGGGGAAATTGAGTGCAGAAGATACATAGGAACTCTATATTATCTGTTCAAATGCTTCTGTAAATCTGAAATTGTCCTAAAAGTAGAAAACCTGTTAATCTTTTTAAAAGCAATATTAACAAGTCATGTACTTCTTTGTGGGAAAGTTTTTCTATTTATAAGTGTTCACTCTGCACAAAAACAATAGTTTGGACCATTTAAGGATGTGGGAATCTTATTTAAGCTGTTCTGGTAAAGAAAAAGTAAAAAAATCAAGGCATGTAAAGATAAGGATGCTCAGCCAACAGTCTCACTAGCAATAAAATACTGTGATCAAGGTCACAGTTTGAATGTAGATCATTTTTTCAGCCCATTAGACATATGGAGATGCCAGAACAACTCAGAAGAAACACAGTCCTCAGACTCCCAATTTAGGTCCTTTCATGTTTGACTAGAAGACAGCGGCAGAATGGGATCTAGAACATTGCAGAACCATCTTTATAAAAGATGCTGTTTTCAGTTGTACACATGGAGTGGTTAGTTCTTAGGACACACTCCTCCCATTAGGCTCTCCTGTCCCAAACATTGGCCGTGCCTGTCTTGAAACATTCATTCATTTCTCTGTGAAACATGGGCAGAAATTTGCAAGTAACTCTTATTATTGGACTACCAGGTTTCCAGGCTCCTCTTGCTATGCCAACAATTCCAGAAAAACTACTGAAAGTATTTTATATGTAATGACTGGTGGTATGATGACTGTTAGTACCATTATAATAACAATGGCAAAGGTAGAAACTACTACTTATTGAGCTTGCTGGGGGCTGTGCTGAGTCCTTACTTTGTTTAAATTTGCAACAAAGCAGTGAACTGGGCATCATTGTCCTCATTTTACAGATAAAGATACTCTTTTATGCATGCACTTCTTTATACATCATCAGTGATGTGGGGATGCGCTTTGATTTATTCAGAAGCCCTTCAATCAATGTTTTAAAAGCTAAATTGCATATCCTGTTTAAATGCTCATAGGGAAGATAAGTATAACCCTTAGGGGAAGCAATTGTGGGGGTGTGGGTAGGGGCTTTGGGGTTGTCAAATTAGTTCAAATGAGTTAACTCATCTAGTTCTTGGTATGAACAGAAAATTAGAATAGGGACCTTAGAATAGCATTGAAATTCAGTAAATAATAATAATAATAAGATTCTTGCTAGAAATCTGATAGAAAGCTTACTTTCTTGACAGCTTTATTTATTTGTGATGTTTCTAAACAGAACTTGGTAGCTAGAATTGGATTTGTTTTCGTAGAATTTTTGTTTGCTTTTTGGGGAGGGTTTAGGTTGAGTTACTATTTTTGAAAGAAAAAGGAAAATGTTCTTAGCTTTCATCAGAGATTCTGATTGTCTATGTCATCATAAGGGTGGGGACAATAGACCATCAATGAATCTACATTGCTGGCAACAGCTTTTCAAAACAGTGATGTATCACTTCTTGTCAACTAGATCTATAAATTTAGTGGCTTCAGCTTATAAGTGAAGGCTGTGCAGTACCTACTGTTTCCTTATTAACACATGCAGAATACCTACTCCACGACTTATTCAAACTTCACTATAATTTATGGTCACCTAATGAATATTAGTGACTTAACTGAATTGGTTTAATTGTGAAATAAAACTGTAAGTTGTGACATAGGCCTAATATTATATTTATTCTCTATGTAAGATTTATACTAAGAGAAAATGTCATTCTCTTTTTAATCTATAGATAGAGCTTAGAGAAGTTTGCTGAAAAAATTAAGTCAAAACTCTCTTTTAATATTCAGTATCCAGAAAGATATATCTACCTCTGGTTTGAATTAAACATCTTTGAAACTGAAAGGACTAATATACTGAGCATTGTCTTTTCTAGATTTCACAGAGAGTTGTGGTTTTAACGAGTATTTGGAATAATTTTCCATAATCCAGCATGTCCCCTCAGCCATTCCTTTCCCCACTGTTTTCTATCCAGTTTTCTCATACTACAGATTTTCCCTATTTTCCCTGTTGAGTCAATGTCATATGTCAGTGAAAGTTAGCTCAGATATGTCCTTAAATGCCAAACACTAGTTTTAAAAAATAGAATATATGAAACTGATGGTGATCTTATATATAAAAAATAGATATTTCAGAAAAGATCTGTAAAAACTAAGGTGTTAACAGTAGCTACTCTTGATATTAAAAGTGGGTTATTGAATGTGTTTTCTTGACCATTAGTTGCTGGTGAGTTTGCTGTCAATTTTCCCTATTTTAGTACTTCAGATAAGCTTTCTCTAAGGTCATGGCTGCCGTTTTTCTTCTTCCAATCACAGGAAACATCCCAGGACACTGAAGAATGGCAGATGATCGGAAAGATGAAGCAAAGGCGCCTCACTGGACCTCAGCTCAACTTACAGAGGCATCTGCCCAACCACACCCACCCGAGATCAAAGATCAAGGAGGGGCAGGGGGAGGACTTGTCAGAAGCACCAATGGATTCCCCTACAGGGAGGATGAAGAGGGCGCCTTTGGAGAACATGGGTCACAGGGCACCTACTCGAATACCAAAGAGAACGGAATCAACGGAGAGCTGACCTCAGCTGACAGAGAAACAGCAGGTAACCAAGGGCTCTCCTGTCCCCGGTGCTTGCTTTGTGCTTTGAAGTCTGTTTACGCGTAAAGTGAGTTAGTTTACAGCACTGATCTTCTTTCACTGGTTCTAGGACTGAAATTCCAGTCAGTCAAGGGAAATAGACACCAAAAGGAGAGAAAAATCGTAGGAACTAGCCTGACATTCCCCCAGATTAGTTATATTGTCAATCTCATCTCCTTTTTAATTTTTACTTTATTTTTGGCTGTGCTGAGCAGCTTGTAGGATCTTAGTTCTCCGACTGGGGATCAAACCCAGGGCCCTCACAATGAAAGCTCAGAGTCCTAACCTCTGGACCACCAGGGAATTTCCATTTACCACCTTAATTTTAGTAGACAGATGGCTTGGTGTGTGTGTGTTTTGCTAATAACTGTCAGCATTGTAATTCACTGAAAAAAAAAACCTTCACTAACTGGGATTCTCTTGAATGATATTAGACTTAAACAGATTAATTGATAAGAAGCACATTTACTTTTTAGGGCAAGAAGGAATGTGGAATCTGTCTCCCAGCCTTTAAAAAGGAAAAAAAAAGGAAAACAGCACGTGAATACACGGGAACCATTTAATACTTCCTTGGATAGCTTTTTAAGAACTAATATACAGATGCTTAAAGGATAACAGGATATAATTTAATCTTAAAGTATAATTTCTACCACAGGTTTGTTGATGATATTGTCATTAATGGCTTAGAGAAACATTCAGTTCAGTTCAGTCGCTCAGTCGTGTCTGACACTTTGCTATCCCATGGACTGCGGACTTTAGTCTGCTCTATAGTATTCTTTGCCATTATTTTCCTTTTCTCTGTAATTCAGAATGTAATGTATTTTAAGACAGTAATTTGCAGACACGCTACTCCAAAAACAGTAAGTGAACTCCTAGTAAGAAAGGCTCTGTCTGCTTCAAGATCATACCTTGTTCAAAGGTTAGTTTTCTACACTCAGTTGGTTAGGCACACATCCACTATACACTCAGCTCAAAAAATATATTTAAATTTTAATGGGCAAGTATGAAAGGCATTTCAAATGACTCAGGAGAAATTACATACTTACATACATAGTGTGATTCTTTTCATTTAACAAACTACTGTTGAACATTTTCTTCGTATAAGCCATGCCAGGGCAAGTGCAAAGAATGGGCCCTAAACTTCCCAGAGCAGTTGATCTAGCAGCACACATGAGACCTGTGTGTACAGTTAATTCAAATACAGAACACAGTACATTAAGTGCCACATGAGCAGTATAGAAAGGCAAAGTTGAAGAGGGGTTGTTTCCAAACCTTGTTCCCAAATCATGTACAGAAGCATCTTGAGGTTCCACAGCAGATGCACAAGAGTGTGGCAGAGTGTTTTTAAATACCCAGATGAAATTCTGTGATATTCAATAGCTGTCAAATACTACATGAACTATTAATTTAAGATAGTTTGGTTTCAACATTAGGTCATACCACATTCTTCTTCATGATGTCCTCCTGTCTTTTTGAAGCTGGGATTTTGGGGTCTTTTTGAAGTTACTGTGATCAGTAAAGCAAATACCCTGCAGAAATGTATGTGCAACAGGAAGAAGAGAGTGGCAGTGTCCAAGCTAATTCACGGATTTGAAAAGCTGTCCAGTGCCCTATAGACACCCATGTCCCATTATAAGAAATTGTGGTTAAGAATGAAATAAAAATATTATTTTTACTTTTCATGGTTACAGGGAAGATTAAATGAGGTAGAGTATATAAAGTAAATGACTCAAGAAGTAGTGTCTATTAAGTACCATTGTTATTGTGATTATTAGTGGTAGTAGTGGTGTTCATGTAGACAACAGGACACCCTGGATCAGGAACTATTTTTCTAAAGTCAAGTGTAATACACTTTGAAGAGGGTGCGACTTGGGTATCAGGAGCACTAACTGGGAAAATGTTGAAGTGATTGAGGCATGAGGAGTTGAGAACATGTTAGAAAAAAATGATTGTGGGAATAAAGGAGAATAATAAAGGGAATAATAAAGGGAATAATGTGAGAAACCAAGATTTTTCTCATCATTGTCCCCTGTAGCACTTGACATTATACCTCAAGGACTCAATAAATGTGTGTTGAGTGAGTAGTGGGGTGAATGATACAAAAAGAAGAAAGTTCTTTTCAAATTAATGGGGAAAGTGATTGAAAAGCCTTAACTTTGTCTCTTGAACTCTCACCAGTTGACTCTCACTGACTATTATGGAGGCTTATTATGTACCCAAGAAAAAAAATCATGCGTAGCGTGCTTGGTCAAGCAGGAGAGAACCAACACCACTCACTATTTCATTTGTTCAATAGTCTTAATTAAGGTTGAGAGCATCAGGAAAAAATCTATTTGTCAGGTCAGTGTGGCCTTGCCAGCTTCTTTGAGAAAATAACATAAATTAAAAAGAAACTAACAGATGGTTATTTAAATTATGGGTTCAAGACCATCCAGAGTTAATTTTGAATTCAGCTTAACATATATCAAATGAATTTTACATTACCTTTGGGAGACTGATTATGTAAATTTTATATGTATATTCATAGTGACAAAAGTTGTAAACAGTGATGTTTTCAATCCAAACGATGATGTAATTTTAAACCAGCCTCCCTCCAGAAAGAACAGACTTGAGTATTGAATCCATCAGTCATCCATGTATGGAAAGCAGCAGGAGAGGAAAAATGTAAATTGTTATCTTCTCATGCCTACAGAGGATTTTTCAGTGATAAGTTAATGTGCAATTAAATTTCTCTCCAAACTTTAGCTTAATAAAATAATAAATTGTATTATTGATGGCCTATATATAATTATTCCACAAATTGCAAACAAAAATCATCCCCAGTAAAAAAGGAATATTCTTAAATCTTAGATATGATCTTTAAAAATGCTATTCTTTGATAATGGAGACCATTGATTGAACAGGCATTATATTTTGAGGTGATTATTTGAGTGAGGACCAGGTTATATATTACCCCACTCTTTCATCATTTCGTGTAATCTATCAGTATATTGCAATTTCTCCTATATGGGTGTTTTTCAGGATGTTGCGAACATGAAACATTTCCCATGACATCCTCAGCTGTCTGTTACAGTGTCCAGACCATGGCTGATCGAAGCCAAAGATCTTTCTTCTACTTTCCTTTTCTTCTGCTTTCATTCTTAGAAATAAATCTTTTCCTCAACATTGTTTATTCATCTCTACAAACCAGATCACGCAATAAATGAATTGCAATAATCCACTCTCCCTCCTCTTTCCTTCATCAGAGGGCACTTACTTCAGCCAAAGGTCTGCCTCCTTCTCTCTCATCCACCCTTTCAGTGTTCACCTTCATGTCTGGACCATCAGAACTTTAATTTTTGAATGTGCAAGGCCATAGTCTGCTTACCTTTGATCTTATGCACTAAGATGGTGGGGGAGGAAGCAGCGGGGAGGGGTTGCATAGAAAATGCTGGAAGGAAATAACACTTTATATTTAATTTACAACTCACTTGTCTAGATTTTTTTCTCTTTCCTTTCAATTTAAAACTAACCCATAGAAACGTAGATAGAATTATATACTCACCTAGTATCACATAACTTTTTACTTTAAGAATTTTTCTTACATTTACTTATTAAAGTGTCCTTTTTAGAAGCCATACCACTGAAACCAAAACAACAGATGAGAAACCATAGAAAATCCATGAAAAATTGGGCCACTTAGGAAAGTTATTGTTATTAATAAGTGAATACAACATAATACTGAAGCAAGTCATTTTTAAATCATTTTCCACCATGGTTAATAAGAATAAAGGCTTATAATAAACGCTTCTTCTCTTTTCCACCTTATCTTTATTGAGAAAAGCAAACAGAATGCATTTCAGTCCCCATAGAGTTTCAACTCTGGGTGATAATTAAGAGCCTCATGTTTAAGCTTCTTATTTGTATGTGGTGCTCAAATGCATATTACAGTTTATATCAAGATAACATCTGGGCTTCCCAGCTGGTGCAGGGGTGAAAGAATCCACCTGCCAATGCAGGAGATGCAAGAGACGCAGGTTCCATCCCTGGGTTGGGAAGATCCCCTGGTGTAGGAAATGGCAACCCACTCCAGTATTCTTGCCTGGGAAGTTCTATGGATAGAGGACCCTGGTGGGCTACAGTCCATGAAGTTGCAAGGAGTCAGAAAGAACCGAGTGACTGAATATGCAATACGCAAGATAACATCAAGATAACTAGATGTTATCTTGTAAGATGACCTCTCGTATTTCTCCTATATATGGGTTTAGTGACCCATCCAGGATACTTGGCTAAAGCCAGCACACAGGTGTCCTGCTTTATGGTGTCATGCTCCTTCCACTTCTCCGTGCAGCCAGACACCCAGCAGCAACAATAACTGGTCATAGCCAAAGACAGTTCTTCCATTGCAGAATGGTCACATCCTTATGCCTTTCAGCATGACAGAAAATTTATTCCCAGTTTTCAGCTTGAATGGAGAAAGAAAGGAGGCAATTCTGAGATGTTTACAGATGCCAAAACTTTGAAGTATTTAAAATCACACTTTTTAAGTGATTTTGACTATTCTGAGGTACAATGCTTTGAACACAGGTTAAAAAAAAAAAAAAACAGCAGTCACAGCGTAAAGTGCCTTTGTAATTATCACAAGTCACCGCCAGGTCTCTTTTTGAGTAAATTTGAAGATTAAAGGTCAGTCGTTCAGTAAACTACCCCTTGATTTCACAAGGGTTGTAGTGTTTCTCCAACATTTCTGGGGCATTTCTCCAGGTCTACTCCCATCAAAGCAGTGAGATCTATAAAGCCCTTCTGGGTTATCATGGTCACTTTTTCCAGAGCTGCCAATGGAGATGCACCTTCTAAAGCTCAACACGCCCTTTTACATCCTCCTGATTCAAGCAGCCCAGTCATGAACATACTTGGATTTCTAGGTTTTTTGTTGCTGAAATTATAAATTTCAGATTGAAAATGCATAGTGGAGAAAAACGTTAC